AGACCCCGCAGCCCCCAATGCCCCGTTTCCCCCCAGCTCCTCCATTGGCCGCCGTTACCCGCGCCGCCGCTGCCTCTGCTGCTTCTTCCTGGGGCTGCTGATGGCCGCCTCCGCCACCGGCCTGGCTGTGAGTCTACTGGGAGGGACTGGGAGGGACTGGGAGGGAACTGGGAGGGAACTGGGAGGGGTGATGGGGGAGTGGGAGGGACTGGGAGGGGACTGGGAGGGACTGGGAGGGGGATATGGGGGACTGGGATGAACTGGGAGGGACTGGGAGGGGGATCTGGGAGCACTGGGAGTCCATACTGGTCCTTACTGGTCTATTCTGATGCGTACTGGTCCATACTGGTCCATACTGGTCCTTACCGGTCTTTATTGCTCCAAACTGGTCCATACTGGTCCGTACTGGTCCATACTGGTCCATATTAGTCTATACTGGTTCATACTGGTCCATACTGGCCCATAATGGCCCATACTTGTCCGTATTGGTCTTTACTGGTTCATACTGGTCCATATTGGTCCTTACTGGTGCATATTCATCCATACTGGTCCTTACTGGTCCTTACTGGTTTATACTGCTCCAAACTGGTCCATATTGGTCCTTACTGGTCCATACTGGTCTATTCTGGTCCATACTGGTCCATATTGGCTCTTACTGGTCCAGATTCATCCATACTGGTCCATATTGGTCCAAACTGGTCCATACTGGCCTTATACTGGTCCATACTGGTCCATATTGGTCCGTACTGGTGCATATTCATCCATACTGGTCCTTACTGGTTCTTACTGGTCTATCCTGCTCCAAACTGGTCCATACTGGCCCATATTTGTCCATATTGGTCCTTACTGGTCCATACTGGTCTATTCTGGTCCATACCGGTCCATATTGGTCCTTACTGGTTCATACTGGTCCATACTGGCCCTATACTTGTCCATATTGGTCCTTTTTGGTCCATATTGGTCCTTACTGGTCCATACTGGTTCTTACTGGTCTATACTTCTCCAAACTGGTCCATACTGGTCCATATTGGTCCATATTGGTCCGTACTGGTCCTTACCAGTTCTATACTGCTCCAAACTGGTCTCTACTGGTCCATACTGGCCCATACTGGCCCATACTCACCCTATACTTGTCCAAATTGGTCCTGACTGGTCCGTACTGGTCCTGACTGGTCCGTACTGGTCCATACTGGTCCTTACTGGTCTTACAGGTGGGGACGTGGGCAGCAGCCCGTCGCTGGGGGGCTCTACACGCGTGTTGGGCCGTGTTGGTGGCGGGGGCCGGAGCGTGTTTGCTACGAGCCGGATACTGGGGCTGCGTGAGGGTCAGCCACCCCATCCCACAACGCGCCTGAACACGCCAACGACACGCCAAGGTCACGCTAAGGACACGTGTCCGACCGTCTCGCCAGCTCCAACACGCCAAGGTCACGCTAAGGACACGCTAAAGTGTGTGTGTGGGGGGGGGGGGGGGGGGGGGGGGGGGGGGGGATGAGGTGAAGGATGGGCCGAGGTGGTGGTGGTGGTGGCGTTGCGTGAGGTGGGACACGCTAAGGACACGCTAAGGACACGCTAAGGGCATGCTTAGGTCACGGTGGGTTCATCGTGTGGTTTTCGGTGGACGTGTGGGTATAGGAACATGCTAAGGACATGCTTAGGTGGTGGAACATGCTAAGGACATGCTTAGGTCATGGAACATGATAAGAACATGCTTAGGTGGTGGAACATGCTAAGGACGTGCTTAGGTCGTGGAACATGCTAAGGACACGCGTAGGTCATGGAACATGCTAAGGACATGAGGCTGTCATGTAACATGCTTCGGACAGGCTTCAGGTATGGGAACATGCTAAGGACATGCTTGCGTCACGGAACACGCTAAGGGCGTGGGTTCATCATCCGACATTCCTCAGACGTGCTGAAGTCATTGGACATGCTGAGGACACGCCAGCGTCATGGCACATGCTAAGGACATGGATTGACTTCATGGCATTCCACGGGTCACGCAACACGCTAAGGCTAAGGACACGCTTAGGTCACGTGACAACACGCTAAGGACATGGATGTACCCTGTGAGGATCCCGGCGTGCGGTCGGGTCACGCAACACGCTAAGAACATGCTTAGGTCACGTGACAACACGCTAAGGACACGGGTTTAACCTGTAAGAATCTTCTGTCAGATGAACACGCTAAGAACACGCTTAGGTCACGTGACACGCTGGGAAGATCACGTGACGTTCCTGGGAGCCATCTTGGATCGACCCCACCATCATGGCGGCCACCTTGGGTCATGTGACACGGCGGCCATCTTGGATCGTTGCGCGGGGTTGAGTCGCGTGATGTGGCGGCCATCTTGGATGAGCCCACGTGACTCGTCGGCCATCTTGGATCCACCGCAGCGGCCATCTTGGGTCCACAGGCGCCATCTTGGATCGACCCACATTATCTATCATGGCGGCCGTCCTGGGTGGAGTCACGTGACGCGGCGGCCATCTTGGATCGACCCACATTGTCACGGCTGTCATTTTCCTTCGAGTCACGTGACCCAGCGGCCATCTTGGATCCACAGGCGCCATCTTGGATCGACCTACATCGTCACGGCGGCCATCTTGACTGGACCCACGTGACCTAGCGGGCATCTTGGATCAACGCACGTGACTCAGCAGCCATCTTGGATCCACTCTACCACCACAGCCATCTTGGCTCCACCCACGTGACTCAGCAGCCATCTTGGCTCCGTCCCACCACCATGGCGGCCATCTTGGCTCGACCCACGTGACTCGTCGGCCATCTTGGATCAACGCACATGACTCGGCAGCCATCTTGCATCCACTCTACCATGACAGCTGCCATTTTGGCTCGCCCCACGTGACTCGGCAGCCATCTTGGCTTCGTCCCACCACCACGGCGGCCATCTTGGCTCGACCCACGTGACTCGGCGGCAATCTTGGATCGACAGATGTGACTCAGCAGCCATCTTGGATCTACTCTACCACGACAGCGGCCATCTTGGCTCACCCCACGTGACTCGGCAGCCATCTTGGCTCGACCCACGTGAGTCGTCGGCCATCTTGGATCAACCCACGTGTCTCGGCAGCCATCTTGGATCCATTCCACCATGACAGCGGCCATCTTGACCGGACCCACGTGACTCGGCGGCCATCTTGCCCCTCCCCCAACTTCCCCGCATGCTCCCCCCCCCGCATGCCTTTCAAGCCCCGCCCCCTGTACATAAGCCCCGCCCACCTCCCCAATGGATGCGTGTACATAGAAACGTATTGGAGGCGAAGCTCCGCCCCCTCACCGGAAGTGTAAATAACTCCCCCTCCCCCCCCCCGGAAAAAAAACATGGCCGACCCTGAAAAAATGGAGATTTTTATTTGGGGTTATATAAAAAAATCGATCAAAGGGGGGGAGGAGGGGGAGGGAAGGGGGGTCCCTGAGGGCCCCTATGGGGGGCGGGGGATCTGTGGGGCGATTTGGGGGTCTATGGGGCGGCATATGGGGTTATGGGGTGGATCTATGGGGCTGGGGGTTTTATGGGGT